GTTTTTGAGCAAAACCGGCTATATACAAAACATTTTTTGAAATTTTGGCCTTAATATAAAGTTTTTGTCTTATAAATCACGTACCACAAAGCCCACAAAACTCAAGTTTGCTTTTTCTTTTATCTGTAAAGGCCAGGAAACCGAGAGTTTTTGCCATTTTCCCAACATTTTATTAAAGTGGATATAGCCGGTTTTGCACGGATGCTCCTCAATTACTGTTCGTTAAAGTTGTAGAATGCAAACCCTACATGAATTTATTGATTCTATAAAAAATCATCACCCATAATATAACAATAATATTAATAATTAATCATACCACGAGTTATATTTAGTGAGAAAATATAATGAATTTTAGGATTTAACGAATTGTCAGTTTGACAATTGAAATTAAAATGTGTGCTTTAAAATATAAAAAGACTATAATATACCTTATTTATCTAAAGTTACCTTAATTTTATTATCGTTTACACCAACCCATCGATCTTTTAGAGTTTATAATTCATTATAAATATAATTATTAATCATTTAACAAACACAGTATTTAAATGTCAACAAATGTCAAATCAAGAAAAATGTAAAAATCCTTAGCAAGGTGATAAAAAATATTGTCGCTGTGATAAAATGCGTAACCATGGAATACTGGCATTTTATTGGTTCTAATTATAATGAATTGTATTGTCATTTTTATGAAAATTGTATTGCGGTAATTACCATTTTACATTAATTTAATGACGTGATATTCATTATCTGGATGAATATGAATTCATAATATTGATGAAAGGTAATATTGATTTATAATAGCATTTCTTTACCTTAATGAAAAAGTTCATTTGCGCAATGAAATATCAGTTGCTGATGGTGGTTTATTCATATTAAGAACAATATTTTTTTCAGTGTAGTTCAATACCACAAAACATGTTTAATAATTTAATTTACTCGTGGATTTTTCTCAACAAATACCACTGAAAATAACGACTGGAAAACCAAAATTACCAAGAAAAGATGGCAACAAAAAGTAAATATAATAGGAAATGTTAAATCTACAGAACTAAAGGTAGTCCCAAAAAAATCTTTTATCTATGTGACAAGGTTACAACCAGAGACAACAGCAGCAGAATTAAACAAATATGTTCAACAACACTTTTTAGAGGCAATTAGTGAGAAAATGGAAGCAAAGTATCCAGAATACTACAGCTCATTCAAAGTAATGATTGACTCAACAAATTTTGAAAAAGCTTTGGACGCAGACAAATGGCCACAAGGGGCCTATGTAACAAAGTATTTTTTTCCCAAGAAAAACCCAAACCACGCAACAGGGTAGAATACTTTAAAATTCACGAACAAAAAAAGGAGAAAGATATGGTAGGTCCTACAGAATCTTACTTTACACTATTACACTTAAATATACAAAGTATTAAACCAAAAATTAACGAGTTAAATATTTATTTAGCAGATAATAAATCTTATGACTGTCTGGGTTTCACAGAAACTTGGCTAAAGCCAGGTGAGGAAAACTTCATAAATATAAAAGGTTACAATTTTGTCTCATGTTTTAGTCGCAGAGAGAAAATACACGGAGGAACTGGGATATTCTTATCAGACAAGTGGGAGTGTCTCGTCCGCCATGACCTTCAAGCAAAAAGCAAAGAATTTTGTTTTGAATGTGCAGGTATTGAAATACCAAAACTGAGGTTGATTATTCTATGTATCTACAGGGCACCTGATAGTGATGTTTCCCTTTTTCTTGATATTCTGGAGGAAGTTATATTATTATGCAAGGTAGATAAACATAAAATTATGATTTGTGGTGACTTAAATTTAAACCTTCTAAATTTAAAAAACGAAAATGTAAAAATGTTAACTGAAACTTTAAATACTTTTAATATAAAAGCTACAATTACAAATGAACCAACAAGAGTGACAAATACATCAGCATCTTTGATAGACAATATATATACAAATATTGAACACTTTCATAAAGAAGTAGTAAAAATTAATTTATCAGATCATCATGCACAAAAACTTTTAGTTAATTTAATTTCGAATAAAAAACCAAATGATAATACTAAAACTAATAAAAGAATCCTAAACAATACAAATCTGGAAATGATGAACAATCATCTAGAGAGAATTGATTGGGAATCATTTTTTACAACTGAAAAAGTAAATCTTATGTATGATGGTTTTGTGGGCTGTCTAAAAAGTTTGCTTGATGTATATTGTCCTCTTAAAAACATAATTACAAAGAAAAGAAACAGCTTGATAAACTGGATTACCCCACAAATAAAAGAAAAGTGTGCTTTAAAAAGATCCCTCCACCAAGAAAAGGGCAAACAATATAAATTACTGTGTAAAGAAATAAAAAACGAAGTAAAAATAGCCAAACAAACAGCTTTTTCAAACTTTATTCAAATTTCACAAAATAAAACTAAATCCACCTGGAAAGTAGTAAATGAAACTTTACATAAAAAAAGCAAAAATTCAAATTTTAATTATAGGGACCTGGATACAAATAATCAAACCTCTACGCAAATTCTTAACAAGTTAAATAGCTATTACATAAATGTTGGAGATAGGACAAATAAAATTACAAATTCAGTACCCGAGATATTTAAGAAGCATAACAAATCTATATATCTACAACCAACAGACAAAAATGAAATTATTAGGGTAATAGGATCTTTAAAAGATACACAGTCTGTTGGACATGATGATATACCCACTGTGCTACTAAAATTTTGTGCCCTTTCAATTTCAGAACCAATTACTTATATTATAAATAAAAGCTTACAGTCTGGGGTGTTTCCTGAGAATCTGAAGGTTGCGCAGATAATTCCTATTTACAAAAAAGGTGAAAAAAATAAACCAGAAAACTACAGACCCATTGCATTACTTTCAAATATCTCAAAAATTTTTGAAAGAATCCTATATACGAGACTATACTCATTTTTCATATATAATAACATCCTTACAAAAAATCAAAACGGGTTTATGAAAGGTAGATCTACAAATAGAGCTATATTTCAGGTTCTACAAGAGATACTCGAGGGTGTAAGTGAAGGGGATGAAGTAGCTGGGGTCTATGTGGATCTATCAAAGGCGTTTGACTGCGTTGACGTGGGCAGACTGCTGGAAAAACTTGAGGGCTATGGCGTGAGGGGCACTCCTCACAAACTATTTCATTCCTATTTGTCAAACAGAACTCAGTGTATTAAAACTAAAGATGAAAACGGAAAATATATCTACTCAGACTACAAAACAGTAAGGTATGGGGTCCCTCAGGGTAGTATCCTGGGTCCCCTCCTTTTTATAATTTATACAAATGAACTACCTGACATACTGGAACATGAGACAGTATTGTTCGCAGACGATACCTCCATGGTAATAAGAAAAAATGATGAAAATTCCTTATTTAAAGAAATAGTTTTGGTTTTAAAAAAACTGGAAAGTTGGTTTGAACAAAACAATATGATTTTAAATGTAGATAAAACCCAACTGATAAAATTCTCATACAACAATGTTTCAAAAAAAACGATAAACATTGGAGGAAATGAACTTACTACATCCCACTCCACAAAATTTCTGGGAATTATTATAGATAGTCACCTACGCTGGGGAGAACATATAGATGCTGTATGCACGAAGATAAGTCTATACTCCTTTGCTTTAAGAATTTTATCAAACACAGTTGACCAAAAAACCTGTCTCACTTCATACTATGCCTATGTATATTCGCGAATAAGATATGGAATAGTATTCTGGGGGAACTCAAAAGACGTGGAGAGAGTTTTTATTCTTCAGAAAAAATGCATAAGAATTATCTTCAATCTAAAATATAGAGAATCGTGCAAAATCACGTTTAAACAAACAGGCATACTCACTGTACCATCTATATATATTTTAGAATCGGCTATGTATGTAAAAAACCACTACCAAGAATTTGAACATCTTGAAGGAACCCACATATACGATACAAGACATAAATCCAACTTAAGAAGTACACATACGAAACTCACCTGGGTTCAGAAAAATGTTGTCAACATGCTGATTAAGATTTACAACAAAATTCCCAAATATATTCGAGACCTCCCAACAAAAAAATTTGAGAACATATTGAAGAAACTACTAAAGACTGGTTCATTCTACTCACTAAACGAATACTTTGAGTCAAACTTTCCTGTGATAAACTAGACTGTGATAACTGTACTATGATGTGAAACTTCTATTTCTTGTAAATTTTATTTATACAAAAATGTAAATGGTGATATACACTTGTCCAATATTTATACAATATCTGTGTTAAATGTATTGTAATGTATGATTGCTTTTGACGTATTCTATCCTTATCATGTATTTGGTCTTTTGAATAAATAAATACACACACACTCGAGGTTTGATTGAGCAGAAAATTTTTTGGACTTTTAACTCCAACTTGGTGGTTTTAGGGCAAATTTCTTTTTGTCAAATTAACCCAAGTTTGCGTGAAAAGTCAAAAAATATCCGGCTAAATCGAACCTCTATAAAAATATTAAATTACATTTTTTTAAGAAAACAGTTGTCTTATAACAAAATTTTATTCAAAAGCAATAAACTTAAAAAAATATATTCATAATATATAGTTCTAACAAAAGTTGGATTTTAGTAAGAAAAAAATATTTAAATAAAACATTTTGGTATAAAATTGTTTTATTAGGGAAATATAACCTGTCACATTAATAACATTGTCAAGATCTAAAGTAACATAAATTTATCAAAAAGTACAATGGACCATTTATATACTTTTTACTTTGTGTCTAGAGTCCCGAGGCGGGAGTAAAATTCGATCCTGACTGACGTCATAATTTGACGTCACAAACTGTATATCGGTAATATTCCCCGAGCGTTATAAAATTAGTCTGGGTAACTCTGAGTTACTATGTGGCATTAACAAGCATTACTATTTAATTTTACATTGATATTTTAGATTATGTAATCTTCCTGTTCATCATTTTGCTACGGTAATATAATGTAATTAAATGAATATAATGTAATTGAAATTATTACTTTAGTCGGGATCGAACTTAAGTCCCGCATCGGGACTGTAGACACAGCGTATTTTTTTTAAGTCAAATGGCTCAAAACTTCGTTAAGAACATCAACATCCTTATAAGCTATTAGTCCTCCACGATTACTGTGATTACAGTCTGCAGTTTCTGTGGGATACTTAATGGAAGATTGTGTATTCCTTAGCGCGTCCTCATAAATTAATAAATTTCCCCCGAGAGACTTCAGGATGGCGTGTGGAGCGCAAGTGTCCCATTTAAAAGTTGTATCTTTCGATAATAAATATACGTCAGCATGACCTAAAAATAACACAATAATTTAGCTATAGGATCAAACACATTTTTAGTTTTTCTTGTTTTCCATGTCCATAATTTTAAATTATTTCTCAAAATGAATATTTAAATTTTAATTATATGGTTTTTTTGTATGGGTAAAATTTTACCGATAAAATGTTTGATTTTTATACGAATGTTTTTTGGCATTGTGGCATTAATTAACGAGCCGCCAGGCGAGTGGTTTTAAATTAATGCCACGAGCGAAATAACCAAGGAATAATCTTGAGTAAATAAAAATAAAAATAAAATTCAGGGAAAATTTTACCACGAGTGGTATTCGGCAAGACTATTTTAGGAATATTTTTTTTTTAAATTAGGATTAACTGCCGATTCAATTTCTGTATGATTTTTTTAACCAAAACGCATATTTTTTTACATTTTTATTTTAAAATTAGAAACGTCAACATTGACTATTATTTTTTCCATAGCAATCAATTGGTTGCTATGCAACTCGTATAAGCGAGTGGTTTTTTCGTAAGGGCATTTAATTTTTCCGAAAAAAATCGAAAAAACACGTTGCTAAGTAATATTTTAACAAAACGCATGAATGCTGGTGGCAACAAAAATACGAGTCGAAGACGAGGATTTTTGCACCTGCACGAATGCATTTTGTTAAAAAATATTACTTAGCATTGTTTTTTCGATTTTTTTCAGAGGAAAAATTAGATGCCCGAATGGTATTTGACAAGACTATTTCATGAGTAACAGTTAACAATTAAAATATAAATTGAAATTTTTGGTGACAACAGCTGTCAAAGTTACAAACCATTTTTAATTCAAAATTGCGCGTTTGTGATTGGTGGAAATTAAGACAAGGGAAATAGTAACCTAAATAGTAGTTTTATCGTAAGTAATATCATAAGGGCATCTAATTTTTCCGAAAAAAATCGAAAAAAACACGTTGTTAAGTAATATTTTCACAAGAAGCATGAGTGCTGGTGGCAATAAAAATACGAGCCGAAGACGAGGGTTTTTGCACCTGCACGAATGCATTTTGTTAAAAAATATTACATAGCATTGTGTTTTTTCGGTTTTTTTCACAGGAAAAATTAGATGCCCAAATGGTATTTGACAAGACTATTTCATGAGTAGGTATACTGTTATAAATTATAACTTATAATAGTTATTCTGCATAACATACTACCTATTATACATGCAAACATAATAAATATGTATGTATTAATTTGAAAACTGAAAAATAGGTAATTTATTTAATCACAAAATACTACAAACTTAATTATTTATGGTACAACAGCTGTCAAGTTTTGCCGCGGGTAAACTCGAAAAAACTGCTGACAGGTGCTGTAATACAGTTTTTCCAACTACAAACCATTTGTAATCCAAAATTGCGCGTTTGTGATTGGTGGAAATGAAGACGAGGGAAATAGTCGATACAAAAAACACTCGTTTTCTGAAATCTGATTGGTCCATAAAGTAATGAGTGGAATAGTCAGTAGTCAGTAGAAAAACCGACCAACCAACTTACACGAGACGGAATTTTCGTCATACCATTGGTGTCACGTTGGTGTGCCAGTTTGTGCGTATCAAAGATAGATTTTTAAACAGTTTTAGTGGTCGATTTATGTTTTAGGTATTAGGAGAACCTGAGGTCAAATAGGTATCATCCAACAGTGCATTTTTAACTCGCCATCTATAACTTAGCGCCTTAACTACAAATTGCAATTAACTGTAAGTAGGAAAACTTGCACAGTGGGATACATTTTTAAAAAAATTGTCCTATAGGACAAATTCTTACAGTAGTTTAAAATAATTCTTACACCATAGTATATACTCTCTAAAAATGAATTAGTCAAAAATGACAAATTACTACAGTTTTTAGTGGCTGCTTTTTCACTTATACCATGGTTAACCATGGGATACCATGTTATCCCAACATAACAGCCAATTAATATCTAAAATGGTCCCCTGAATCTGAAAATACCGTCAAAAATTATAAAAGTAGAGCAGTTTTTAATATATAGTTAAGCAAAAAAACTATTAAAACAATTTTACCAATGAAAAAATGACAAATGTTTTATTTGTTTTTAATTGTTAAAATTGTTTTGATAGGTTTTTTGCTAAAATGGATGTAGGTACTTTGGTTTAAATATAAAAAATGTTGGGAACAGTGAAAAACTTTTTTTTTTAAATTGACAAAATATTTAAAATTTCCAAAATTTTGAAAATGATTAAATTTATTTATTAAGTTAATAAAAACAATAATAATTATTATGATAGTTCGATTTACTAACATTGAGTATGCCCACCTATATTACCTAATTTTGGGCTGCTGATTTCAAAAATGCCACTCGTTTTGCTCCAGGACGTCTAGGATTCGAAATAATTGCGTAATAAAATGCTCTGCCCAATTATCTCAAAATGTAAGTTTTTTGTTAATATTTTGATTATTTATTAAATTATTTTGCTTTAAATCTATTTTGGATGTTCAGTATATTTTTGACATTTTTTATCAAAAATATACAGGGACTTCATACAAAGTCGACCGATGATCATCGGTAGATAAATGTCAAATAAAAATTTTGTTTGTACCATTGTAGCCATACACTATAGTAGTAGAGGAACACCTTACAACTTGTTACAATCATACATGCAAGATAGGGATCAATGTGTTAAATGGAAAGAAACCATATCAACTCGAGTAAAAGTGACCGTTGGGGTACCACAGGGCTCGATTTTGGGACCGATTCTTTTCATTATATATACAAATGACATTATTCATAGTGTAGATGTTTCAAATACATGTCTATATGCTGATGATACATCACTAGTAATTACAGGGCACAGTAACCTGGAAATAGAGCAACAAAAAAAAGCTGCACTAAACAGTGCCCAAGATTGGTTCAACACAAACAGACTCAAACTAAACAAGGACAAAACGCAACATCTTGATTTTAAACAAAGAATAGCTCCACAGATGCAAATAAAATTCCTTGGAATTTGGATTGACTGCAGTAAATTAAACTGGGCAAGTCACATATATGAACTTGCAAAAAAACTAAACTCAGCGATATACGGAATAAGAAGAATAAAAACAAGTGCTACCCACCAAAGTGCAAAAATGACATACTTTGCCAATTTCCACAGCATTATGTCATATGGTATCCTGGTTTGGGGTGAAGCCAAAGAAGCAAATAGAGTGTTCCTTCTACAAAAAAGAGCAGTGCGAGCTCTATGCTCTCTCAAATATAGTGACAGCTGCAGACAATATTTCAAAAATGAAAAAATACTTACTTTTTATGGTGTATATGTCCTAAATGTTCTAAAGCATGTACATTGTAACAAAAATAAATTTTTAACCAATACCAATTTTCACAATTATAACACAAGAAATAAAGAACATTTTATAATGCCTTATCACAGAATAAATGCCACCCAGAGATCTGTGGATTACTGGGGTCCAAAGCTATATAACCACTTACCTGATACTGTAAAAACTTTAAACTGTGAAAAATTTCATAATGTTGTAAAAGAAATTCTAATAAGTCTATGTTTGTATAGTGTACAAGATTTTTTTAAATTTTAATTTTAAATGTAAGTTTCAAATGTAATTATTCTCTTAAATTTTAATGTTTTTATTGTATAAGTTTGTATCTCTCTTTTAATTTGTAAACTTTACTGTGATGTTTTTTACAACTATCTGGTCTTACCTATAAGTTTTTTATATTTTATGTAAATTTCTATTTTTTATTAACATTTATTGTATTGTATTATATTGTAATTTTTTGACAAGTCATGTAATTTTATTGATGACAATAAACTATTCTATTCTATTTTATAAGGGATATTTAATAAAGCACTTTTCTGCAGAGAAGTGCTTTATTAAATATCATAAGTAAAATTATAATTTTTTTTGGTAAAAATCATTTTTTAAAATTTTTGTGTCGTTTTTTAACTACTAATTAAATTGAAAATTCAACAAAGTAAATGGGTTTCGGTATAAGCATTACTCATGGACAATTCTTTGATATGTTTTTATTCACATCATGCCTAAAGTACCCTAAAATTTAATATCGAATTGAAGTGCAAAGGCGCCTTTATCTACTTTATCGTTCAAGCACACTAAAGTGAATCTATTAATTATTGACATTTAAAATTTAAACTTGTATTGTATTTTTACTTGAAAGTGATTTTAAGAACCAACAATGAAAAAAGAGCAGGAAATGGAAGTGGCAGAGAAAGAGAAAGGAGACGAACATTTATGTCGTTGTAAATTTGTTTTGTTTTTCTTGCGGTACCTTTACGCCCAAGAAAAACCAACGCAATATATCATTACAAAATTTTATGAGATATACCTACTACTTTAATTTTGCAGGAATATTAAATGGATGATATACGACGTTTAATGAAAGATCAAGCATTCAAAAATGCTCTTTAAGTTGACGAGCTTGTCGCATATGGCAGTGTTAAAGCTGTCATTGAAAATGTTCTTGGTTCATATCGGGCCTAAAATTGGCGCCGATTAATTGAAAAAATGCTTTCAGTTTTGCAAGGAATTATCGTTAATATGTCATTTAAAATAAATTTTCTTTTTTTTTCATCCTGATAAATTTGCCGAACTGATGAACATGGAGAACGATTTCGCCAAGTAACTGCAAGCCTAGAGCATTGGTAGATATCTATGGGTATAGCCGAAAGAAGTTTGTATTCATTGCTAGGAGACATTTGCTGGAATTTGCAGCAAAAGATGTACAACGATGATGAGGATTAAGCACAATAATACTATAATCCAATTTGATATTTGATAAATTTAAGGAAGAAAAAAGCAAAATTATGCAATGCATTTAATTTTGAGGGCTCAATTTGGATAAAAAATAATGAAACTTGTTTACTTTGTTGTCCTTTCAATTTAATAATTAAATTAAACGACAAAAAATGTCAAATAATGGTTGTTTTTTTACATAAAATACATTAAAAATTTAGTTTTAGTATTTAAAATGTCATAT